CAAACTGATCTATGATATGCGGACAAGAAAATGAGGTTGCCCTGCGGCGGGGTGCTTCACGAATTCGTAAATATCAGTCTAAATCATTTTAAGGTCAAAACCTGGAAGATTATTTTTATGTTTAAAAGGATTTGCAAAAAAAGATCTCATTACAATATGAGAATATTTTTTTATGAATTTACAGCAAAATTTGAGGTAAATCTTTCTCAACAATTTTTTATATCTGCAGAGCTAGTTAGATATTTAAGAAATAATATTTTATTTTTAAATACTAATAAACGTTTGAAGTTTTGAAATACGTTCAAAATAATCAATACTTAATATCCCAACGTTAAGAAAGATACTGATTGTGATTACCCTCCTCATACTTTTCCCCCCTTATATCTTTGTAACCAGATATCGTAGACCTATCATATCTCAAACGATACATTCACCAGGTTGTAAAGATATTGGTATTACTATTTTAAGCGAATAATCAGTTCTTTAGTTAACATTTTGAAAAAATCGAAATAATTCAATCTGGATCGCCACCTTGAACTATATTAGTATAATCAGTAAATGTAAAAATATATGAAACAATGTAGTTTTACTAACTATTGAATTTGGATAGTTTAGCATTGTATACGCTACATAATACATCAACTATACGTTGAGTAAATATATTGTATACAAGCTTGTATATATACCTCCAGGCAGTCCCACAATACACTATCTACATATTTTACAATAGGGGGGTTTCAGAAAATAGGAACTTAAAACATATGTTTAGCCCAAAAAAGATATAAAAGGGACTGTTAATGTCATTTTAATTAAGTTACCCTCAATTTAAAGAAAAATCCTTAAAAACTTCTTCTAAACAATAATGATGCAGTTATTATTTTTGATCTGTAAATTCATAGTTTCCATTTACAGCAGCATGCAATGAATTAAAACACGTTAGGATTTTGAAAAACCCTTTTATATGGGTTTAAAGAGATTTGTTGTCAATTGGAAATGCCACTCTCTAAATGGAGGATCACTTAGAATTACGCGTACGGTCCCTTAAACCCCTTCCAACCTATTCTGTAACTTACTAAACAACGGTTGTATTGATTTTAAAACGGCGTCGCGTGTTTTTATTCTTCTCTTCAGTTTTAGACCGTTACTACAGATTATTAATCAAATTTTTGACCATGGCAGCAGCAGCTTTAAACATCTTCTTATCTAATCATAATCTCAGCTTAAACTGTGTTTTTATGAATCGTTCATCTCTCTGAAATATTAATATTTTTGGGTGGGAATTAACGACCTTCTTAAGTTACTTTAGGGACCATTCACTCTTTTCAAAGATTGTTTAGGATTGAATAAAAATGTCAAAACTGGTTCAATCTTTCAATCAAATATTGTTTTAACTTCTTAAAATTTTATCATATTTTAAATAAAAACAAACTCGTTGAGTGAAAAGTGGGACCAATCCCTTTTTGTATTTAAAAAAGGCTGAAGGTAATTAGAATAATACCTAAAATATTCACTTTACGACCCAATAAGTTAGAAGAAAAGGGCGTGGGCAGCAATTAAATCAACAATTTAAAGAGTTTACAGTGTTTAGGTCAAAATACTAATATTCCTACCGAATCTAAATATATTCAAATACAGGGTTATTCCAAAACAGATCAGATTTTGAATACGTTTTTTTTTGATAATTTTAAAATCTTATTTTGATAAAAGTCGTTTTGACGTATGAATCAGATTTTAAAAATGACCTTTTTTTAGTAACAGTGTATTATAATAATTCTGGGGGGTGAGATGAAATTTTTTTTTCAAGGGTTATCAAACATACACTCAAATTTCTGTAAATAGATAAACATATAGATAAACAGATAGATAAACAGATAAATTAACAAATAGATAAACAGATATATAAATATACACATAAATAGATACATAAACAGATTGATAAATAGATAGATAAACAGATATATAAACAGATAAATAAACAGATTGATAAATAGATAGATAAACAGATAGATGAATAGATAGATAAACAGATAAATAAACAGATTGATAAATAGATAGATAAACAGATAGATGAATAGATAGATAAACAGATATATAAACAGATAGATAAACAAACAGATAAACAGATAGATAAACAGATAAATAAATATATAGATAAACAGATAGATAAATAAATAGATAAACAGATAGATTAATAGATAGATAAACAGATAGATAAACAGATAGATAAACAGATAGAGAAATAGATAGAGAAATAGATAGATAAACAAATAGATAAACAGACAGATAAACAGATAAATAAATAGATAGATAAACAGATAGATACATAGATAGATAAACAGATAGATTAATAGATTGATAAACAGATAGATGAACAGATAGATAAACAGATAGATAAACAGATTGAGAAATAGATAGATAAACAGATAGATAAATAGATAGATAAATAGATAGATAAAACTATGAATATATTTAATAATTTTAGGCTATCTTATCTATCTATCCATCTACAAAGAAGCAAGTCATCTTAACATTATAACATGAAAATAAAAACAAAGAATTCGTAAGAACAGAAAGAACAAGCAGAACAAGAAGGACAAGAAGAACAAGAAAAACAAGAGGAACAAGAAGAACAGGAAGAACAAGAAGGACAAGAAGGACAAGAAGAACAAGAAGAACAAGAAGAACAGGAAGAACAGGAAGAACAAGAAGGACAAGAAGGACAAGAAGAACAGGAAGAACAAGAAGGACAAGAAGGACAAGAAGAACAAGAAGAACAAAAAGAACAGGAAGAACAGGAAGAACAAGAAGAATGAGAAAGACAAGAAGAAAAAGAAGAACAAGAAGAACAAGTAGAACAAGAATAACAAGAAGAACAAGAAGGACAAGAAGGACAAGAAGAACAGGAAGAACAAGAAGGACAAGAAGGACAAGAAGAACAAGAAGAACAAAAAGAACATGAAGAACAGGAAGAACAAGAAGAATGAGAAAGACAAGAAGAAAAAGAAGAACAAGTAGAACAAGAATAACAAGAAGAACAAGAAGGACAAGAAGGACAAGAAGAGCAAGAAGAAAAAGAAGGACAAGAAGAGCAAGAAGAACAAGAAGGACAAGAAGAGCAAGAAGAACAAGAAGGACAAGAAGAGCAAGAAGAACAAGAAGGACAAGAAGAATAACAAGAACAACAAGAACAACAAGAACAGGAAGAACATGAATTAAAAGAAGAAGAACAAAAAGTGAATTACCAAGAAATAATTATAATCTTTTTGCACATTACAACCTTTCAAGAGACTGCTGAAGCTACAAATCATATTTTATTCGACAGTTAAATGTTTAAAATCAGTTTTAATTTATTTGTCAATAAAAACAATGAGAATACACTTTTTGAAACCACACACCTTGTTTGAGCACTGTTGTGCCTCTCTACACCCCCCTCTCTCTTTGTATTTTTGTTGGGGGTAACAGTCAGTTAACCAATGTTATATAAGCAAAACCATAAGGATTTATTGGATATAAAACTATGGATAACTACACTATTTATCGGATACTATAAATAGTCACGTGATATATTCTAACCAATAGGAATACAAATGATAAATCACGTGATTTAATCAAGAAATAGGATTGGTAGAAACATGGCACTGATTGTTTGCTTGTTTTTAGCATTCAGGCAGTGTGCTTTGATGGACTTTGTCGGTGCATAGATAAAGGGGCATAGCACGGGTTGGGGGGTGAGGGGGGGGGTATACAATAAAATTTCTTATTGCAAAACATCGTTCAGATGTTTTCCAATCCTCAGTAAATATTTATGTATCTTTTGTAAAATACTTTGAAAACTATTTTGAAAAGATAGAAAGATAGATAGATTGAAGGATATATAGAAAGATAGATAGATAGAAGGATATACAGAAAGATAGATAGATATATTTATAGATAGAACAGATAGATGATAGATAGATAAATAGATAGATAGATATATAGATAGATAGAAAGATAGATAGATTCATAGATGGATAGATAGATAGATAGATAGATAGATAGATAGATAGATAGATAGATAGATAGATAGATAGATAGATAGATAGATAGATAGATAGATAAGATAGATAGATAGATAGATAGATAGATAGATAGATAGCTAAATAGAGAGGTAAATAGATAGATATAGAGAGGTAAATAGATAGATATAGGTATATAAATAGAGATAGATGGATAGATATAAGAATAGATAAATAGATATATATATCTATATATATAGATAGATAGATAGATAGATAGATAGATAGATAGATAGATAGATAGATAGATAGATAGATAGATAGATAGATAGATAGATAGTTCTATAAACCTAATAAAACTAAATAGTAAACGGTAGGTGCGGTCAAGAAAACATGAAACAAACAAATAAACCATAGCAGCGTCATGTCGTCATGCTGTCATGCCGTCATCTTCTGTCCAGTGAGCATGATACGGCAGGTCATATTAAAGTAAATCTCACTTTAAATTGAAATGTTTTGAATCATATAGCTAAGATTAGAGAAGAATAAAAACTAAGATTAGAGAAGAATGAAAATTAAGATTAGAGAAGAATGAAGACTAAGATTAGAGAAGAATGAAAATTAAGATTAGAGAAGAATAAAAACTAAGATTAGAGAAGAATGAAAATTAAGATTAGAGAAGAATGAAGACTAAGATTAGAGAAGAATGAAAATTAAGATTAGAGAAGAATAAAAACTAAGATTAGAGAAGAATAAAAATTAAGATTAGAGAAGAATGAAAATTAAAATTAGAGAAGAATGAAAACGAAGATTAGAGAGGAATGAAAACTAAGATTTGTAAATGGTACACTGTTCATATAAAAAGTTGGACTAAAGTTGTATTAAACATTTTCTGGATGTTCAGCAACTAGAATATTCTGTATCACGTTGCTGATTAGTATTGAATTCTTCAAAAGTAAAATTTTTCCAAATGTTCATGTTTTTTTATTTGTATTTTATTTTCAGCGTATCTACTGGGAAAGCAGTGAGGTAGATAGAGAACTGTGTTTACTCAAGGGGAAAGGAGAAGACGATTGTCAAAATTATATCAGGTAAATATTAGACATTTTTAAAATCTATTTCCCCATCTNTGTTACAAAATACTACCCCCTCCACGTAGTTAGTAGTTAAGGAATGTTAGCGTTTGTCTTAGCACACAGGAAAAAATGCGCCAATATAAAAAGTATTTAAATTGGGAAAAATTGCTAGTTTCATTTTTCCCAAATAGTTTTACATTTATACTTTTACAATTATTTGAATTCTTTAAGTTCTAGGAATTTGATATAGATAGTTACATTTTGGGTTTAAATATATTTTTTTCTTTTCTTTTTAAGCTTACTCGTTCATTTCTTTTTCTTTGTTGAACAGATTTTTAACAAATAGAAAAAAAACTGTTTTTAATATTTTTTTCAAACTTCTTTTCTATAACATTTTGTGACATAAATAAAATGCAGTTAGATACATCATTTTCTCTATTTTAGATTTTGTTTAAACATACACTTTTTGAATGTTTTTTTTTACCAGTGTATGTATCATGTATTTCTTAACATGTATAATGTAAGTTTTAATGTAAGTTGTATAATGCATTGCAGCTGAAAAGATGATAAAAATATGTTTCGTATTGTTTGACACAAAGTGTCACTGTATAATATCATAAATAATGTTTCAAGGCAATATTCATATCTTTATAGCTATTCTATAAAATCAATTTATCTATCTATCTATTTAAAATCACATATATTTATCAGTATCGAGGAGCAAACTTTTTTTTCGGTGTTCATATTTATCACACTGTGCAGATTTTTTATAGTTTAAAATTAATAGATTAAAACCTTTTTAAGTTTTGTCTCAATAACTTTTCAATTGAGCCCCCCTCCCTTTTTAAAACTTGTTACATCATCAATTAACAATCATTACCTTCATCTTTTGTATCTGAGAATGAAAAAGATAGTGTCGTTTTCTATCTGGAAAAGTTTGAAATTCTGACAATTTTCTTTTGTTGTCTCTGCTGCATATATAATTGTTTTCAACAGTTCCTTTAATATCTTGCTTAAAATGTGTATACATATTGTTTGTGTGTAAGCGTGTGTTTGTGTTCGTACAAGAAAGTGTGTATCTGTTAACACCCGAGGATACACGTAACAGAATTGGGACTTTGTTGGTAAACTGTGGACAATGGACAATACTTCATATCCTTCATACTTTCATTCTTCATTCTTAGACAGATAGATAGATAGATAGATAGATAGATAGATAGATAGATAGATAGATAGATAGATAGATAGATAGATAGATAGATAGATAGATAGATATAGATAGATAGATAGATAGATAGATAGATAGATAGATAGCTAAATAGAGAGGTAAATAGATAGATATAGAGAGGTAAATAGATAGATATAGGTATATAAATAGAGATAGATGGATAGATATAAGAATAGATAAATAGATATATATATCTATATATATATATAGATAGATAGATAGATAGATATATAGATAGATAGAAAGATAGATAGATAGATAGATAGATAGATAGATAAAGAGATATATATATATAGATAGTTTATCCGGTTAGACATATTAGAAATTATACGCATTTTTACTTCTCAATAATTCTTTAATAAAAGAAGTTATATAAAACTTGCAATTTACATTAGTTTAACGTGATTTGTGAATTCCAAATTTATGAAGAAAATCCTGTAAAAAGGATTTTGCTCAAGTTAGCTGTCAACCAATTCAAACTATATTTGTATTAATATTACAAGGACATGTGTAAAGTTTTTGTCTGCACATTGGTTTTGAATCAAACCGTAAACGTGATTTTAATCATACAAAGTTTTTATCAATAAACTTTGCGGTTTTACGTTATTTCTGGTTTCTGACATTTTTTATCAGGGATTTTATATTTTTTATGTAATTACACTCCTTGTTTACGCTGGACTTACAACATATATATCACGCACCTCTGCCCCTTTAGTAAAAATAAATTTATAAATGAAGCATAAAGTCTGACCACGTCAACAGGCTAGTCCTGTTGATTCTCTGCTTTATTAACCCAATGTCTGTGCGGTACAGTACAAACTGGGACCGGAAAGGTTGACCCGGCTCTAAAATTCAAATGTACTATGGCTGCCTGTGATATGTATGTCCATTGTCTATTTTTGAAAAATTCCCTAATGAACTAATTATTGGTCATAAACTTAATTTTTTCCACATAATATATCTGGTTGTGGTGTAAACCTTTCATATTTGAAACTATTATTACTGCTTAATAAAAAAATCAAAGTTTAAAAAATTAAAGGCTAATATAAACAGGTTACAAAGATATAAGAATTAGACAATTAGAGTTTAAAACAAGCGTTATGCCTCATCACTTCTAAGTTTACGAGGAATAAAAACTCTAAAAGATAAATAATTGTAATGATATTACATGTTACAATTAGTTGCTATGTAGTTAAAAGACGAGTCTAACTTATTACTATATTTAGACACTATACCAACAGTGGAAATGGATATGAAGTAATAAAGCAGTTTAGCGGTAAAGGATATGCTCCCTACGATCCAAAACATAATTCTAGTTCACTTTTCACAGGTAAAATATAAAACAAGAACACAGATACCTTAAAAATATGTTTTAACATCTAAAAGGATGTGGTTACAGCTAAAAGGATGGGGTAACAGCAAAAAATGATGTGGTAACAGCTTCAAAGAATGTGGTAACAGCTAAAATGATGTGGCAACAGCTTAAAGAAATTTTCAACAACTAAAATGATGTTGTAACAGCTTAAAGAATGTGGTAACAGCTAAAATGATGTGGTAATAGCTTAAAAAGGATGTGGTAACAGCTAAAAAGGATGTGGTAACAGCTTAAAGGATGTGGTAACAGCTAAAATGGATGTGGCAACAGCTTAAAGAATATGGTAACAGCTAAAATGATGTGGTAATAGTTTAAAAGGATGTAGTAACAGCTTAAAGGATGTGGTAACCGCTGAAAAGGATGTGGAAACAGAATAAAGGATGTGGTAACCGCTGAAAAGGATGTGGAAATAGAATAAAGGATGTGGTAACAGCTTAAAGAATATGGTAACAGCTAAAATGATGTGGTAACAGTTTAAAAAGATGTAGTAACAGCTTAAAGGATGTGGTAACCGCTGAAAAGGATGTGGAAACAGCGTAAAGGATGTGGTAACAGCTAAACTAATGTGGTAATAGCTAAAAAGGATGTGGTAACAGCTAAAAAGGATGTGGTAACTGCTTAAAGAATATGGTAACAGCTAAAATGATGTGGTAACAGTTAAAAAGGATGTATTAACAGCTTAAAGGATGTGGTAACCGCTGAAAAGGATGTGGAAATAGAATAAAGGATGTGGTAACAGCTTAAAGAATATGGTAACAGCTAAAATGATGTGGTAACAGTTTAAAGGGATGTAGTAACAGCTTAAAGGATGTGGTAACCGCTGAAAAGGATGTGGAAACAGCGTAAAGGATGTGGTAACAGATGACCTGATGTGGTAATAGCTAAAAAGGATGTGGTAACAGCTTAAAGAATATGGTAACAGCTAAAATTATGTGGTAACAGTTAAAAAGGATGTAGTAACAGCTTAAAGGATGTGGTAACCGCTGAAATGGATGTGGAAACAGCGTAAAGGATGTGGTAACAGCTAAACTGATGTGGTAACAGTTAAAAAGGATGTGGTAAAAGCTAAAAATGATGCAGTAAAACTGTTGTGGACAAGTTTTATCTCGAAATTGGCAATCAAAAACAAACTTTTACACATTTTATTGTACAACATATTTCTGCAAATATAAGTTCAACGCCAATGTTTCAGAAAAAGTTTTGATCTATCAAGAATTGATATATCTGCTGGTCCAAGTTTAATGCATTTGGTCAGATAATTAGTATTCAATTGATCCTTAATTAATACTAATTATCAAAGCACAACAATGACCTAGGGGGTAATTATGCTAATGCAGGCAACTTAGTGTGGCGGGGGGGGGGGGTTGCAATGGTTAGAGGGCAACGTTTTTGAAAACGGAGGAAGGAAGAAAGGGCAAAGTGTTTCAATAGATAGTACGGGAGGACAAAGTGATTGGTTATAGGGGTAAGAAGGCAAAGAGATTATAACGAGATGTAGTTGCTTAGTTCTAATAAAGAGAGGCAGGGAGGAAAAAGTGTTTATTAAGACAGGTAAAGAAAGTAAAGTGTTATGAAGAGAGGTAAAGATGACAAAGTTTTATAAAGAGAGGTAAGGAGCTAGGGTAAAGTGTTAATAAGAGAGGTAGGGAAAGCAAAGTGTTATTAAGAGAGGTAGGGAGGGTAAAGTGTTGGTAAAGAGAGGTAGGGAGAGTAAAGTGTTAATAAAAGAGGTAGGGAGGGCAAAGTGTTATTAAGAGAGGTATGGAGGGCAAAGTGTTAATAAGAGAGGTAGGGAGTTGAACATGTTATTAAGAGAAGTAGGGAGGGCTAAGTGTCTATAAGACATGAAAAGAAGGTAAAGTGTTATGAAGAGAGGTAAAGATGGCAAAGTTTTATAGGCAAAGTTTATAAAGAGAGGTAGGGAGGGCAAAGTGTTATTAAGAGAAGTAGGGAGGGTAAAGTGTTATTAAGAGAGGTAGGGAGGGTACAGTGTTTATAGGAGAGGTAGGGAGAGCAAAGTGTTATTAAGAGAGGTAGTGAGGGTAAAGATTACTAATAAACTGATAGCATGTCTTTAATTATAGGTGGAGACCTCTATGCCGCCACCGTGTCCGATTTTTCTGGAACTGATTCCTTGATCATTAAAAACCAGCTAAGAACAGAGCAGTACGATTATGCACACCTAAACGGTAAGTTAAAAAAAAACACAGATGTACATGACAAAACATGCAGAATTTTTTTCTTCTTTCACATTATCTATCTATCTATCTATCTATATTTATATCCTTATATCTATTTATCTATCTATGTATCTATATATTACAAGGTATTGTTTCCACAGCTTGTTTAACTCCTTGTCCCTCTATTGTTCTGAATCTGAACTCCCTGCTTTGAGTTCGGTTAGGTTCTACTCCAGTCTAGTTTAGTCAACCAGGACCTTTTAACCCGGCGTAGGAATCATATTCAGGGTTATAATGTAAAAACAGTGTATAAGGTTTGTTTAAAATTAGGCCGAATCGGTCAGAGAGAGACAGAGAGAGAGAGAGAGAGATAGGGGTTTGGGAGGAAATTCTAAAACTTTGATTGATGACATTTTAGAAAGGGTTAACTAAATCAGGGAACTTAAACTTGAGAAAACATACACAATAGAGGGGGAGGGGAGAGAGGGAGGGGGGTACGACATGTGTTCAGGAGGGGGGAGGAACAAAATAACAGGCATTTTTAGTAGATGAATTCAGACAAAAAGAAAACTTTCAAAAATTCAGTAATATCTTTTGAAGTTTTATCAAGACTAGAAGTCTATCTTTACATATGTCTATCTTTCTATTATCTTTCTATCTATCTACTTTATATTTGTCTATCTATCTATTATCTATCTATCTACCCATCTATCACCCTACTTGACAATGTGTAAGAATGCCCCTATATATCACATTGTAACAGGTCTCCCTGTATCCCTTGTATACTTTGATGGATTTAAACTTCAACTATTCTTAGACACATAGACACATAGACACATAGACACATAGACACATAGACATTGCACATAGACACATAGATGCATTGGCACTGCATATAGACATATAGACACATAGACACTGCACATAGATTTAAGGATTAGAAAACAATATATTCAGGGGAGTAGTCAGTTTTTTTAGATTTAATTTTTATTTATCTACATTTTGCTTTCAGCTCCCAACTTTGTGTCGAGCTTGGAGGATGATGAATATGTTTACTTTTTCTTCCGAGAGGCAGCTGTAGAACTTATAAATTGCGGGAAAAATGTTCTGTCTCGCGTTGCTCGCGTCTGCAAATCCGACGAAGGAGGGTCTCATAAGTTTAAGAATCGTTGGACGACTTTTCTTAAAACTAGACTTAACTGCAGGTGAAAACGTTTATAATTTCTGAATTGTTTTTGATCAGTATTTCAAAACATTCTTCCATTAGCTATGGCATATCATTATTTTCAGTCAGATATATCTTAATGTTAATTTCTAATTTTAACATGCTAATAATTTATTATAGTTATTTTTACTATCATTATTATTATTATTATTATTATTATTATTATTATTATTATTATTATTATTATTATTATTATAATTATTATTATTGTTATTATTATTATTATTATTATTATTGTTACTATTTTTATTATTATTATATATTATTATTAACAATATTATTATTATCAGTGTTCCTGGTGACTATCCGTTCTATTTTGATGAGATTCAATCCACTTCAAGTTTCTATTCTACTCAGGACAATGATAAGGTGACCTTTGTGTACAATAGTTTTCATGTACGATATTTTCTTTGTACAATAGTTTTCATGTACGATATTTTCTTTGTACAATAGTTATAATGTGCGATATTTTCTTTGTACAATAGTTTTCAAGTACGATATTTTCTTTGTACAATAGTTTTCATGTACGATATATTCCTTGTACTGCTTAGGTTGTATATATGGTGTTTAATACCCCCCAGAACTCTATACTGTTTCGGTTGTATATATGGTGTTTACTACCCCAAGAACTCTATACTGTTTAGGTTGTATATATGGTGTTTACTACCCCCCAAAACTCTATATTGTTTAGGTTGTATATATGGTGTTTAATACCCCCCAGAACTCTATACTGTTTAGGTTGTAAATATGGTGTTTACTACCCCAAGAACTCTATACTGTTTAGGTTGTATATATGGTGTTTACTACCCCCAGAACTCTATACTGTTTAGGTTGTATACATGGTGTTTACTACCCCCCAGAACTCTATACTGTTTAGGTTGTATATATGGTGTTTACTACCCCCCAGAACTCTATACCTGGAAGTGCAGTGTGCAAGTTTACGGTCAGCGGCATAACTGACGCGTTCATGGGAGACTTCAAAGTACAGGTAGGACACAGTGTTCCAACAATTGCAAGTAGGGTTATTAGACATTTTTTCAAAAAATGAAAAATGAAAGGGGGTATAGGTTTACGGCGAAAAATAATAGCTTTTTTTGCTACTTGTGTCTTTTGCGTCTATAAGGAGAAAATTGTAAAAAACGACTCACACCAAAGAACGTAGCGTCCATACAAATTCGGAAAGTTACAACATTTAACTCAGATCGTAAAATAATTAATTTAATTACAAACAAATCATTCAGATATTACGAACAATACTCATCGATTATTTTTTGACGCATTCGTATATAGTTAATATTTTTGATTTTTTTTAAAAATAATATTCGCTGGCGCTGGATTTTCGAACATTCCTGGAAAATATTAAAATAAAACAGGAATAAATGTTTTCAAAAGTAATTATCAGATCAAAAAATATAAACAAATATTATGAATTATCAACTATATACCAATTCGTCGAAAAATAATCGATGACTATTGTTTGTAATATCTAAATCATTTGTTTGGAATTAAATTAATTTGTTTACGATCCGAGTTAAATGTTGCACCTTTCTGAATTTGTATTGACGCTACGTTCTTTGGTGTGAGTAGTTTTTAACAATTTTTATCAATTTAACAATAGAAGCAAAGAGAATAGAATATATATTAGAGAGGAATTTACTAGAAAAAAGTTTCAATACTGCAGGTGTACTTCACATATTTATGCTTTATAACCTTTTGGGCCCTGGAATATCATTTTATAGAAAATCTAAAATTACTGTTAAAAGAAAACCAAATTATGAAATATGCTGGTTTCACATAGACTCTATGCCTTTCACTTTACAAACGATGATTTTCCGTTATAGCTATAAATCAAATAAGGTTTTTTATTCACCTAATTCATTTTATAAAGTTTATTTAACAGCTTTAAAAAATTCGAAATTGAAATGAATAGTTTAGGGAACATACTGTATTAATGTACTTTGCTGCATATAATTTGTGAACATTTACATGATTTGTACACTTTGGACTCCCTTTCAGGCTGAAAGGGTCTGAAAAAATTCATACCGAGAGATTCTTTAAATTCCCCTCTAATATATATTCTATTCTCTATGAATAGAAGTAAGATTATTAAGTGATTATTTTTCCCGGTAAGCCTATACCCCCTTTCATTTTTCGCTAACACTCCCTTTAAGTCTGATTTGATTTGATTTGTTATTGGATATGGTAATGATTGATAAATGTACGGTCATTTTTATGAAGTATCGTTGTTAACAAGGGTTAATGAAATAGTATAAAATAAAATTTCATACATTTATAACCAGAATATAAATAATTTTTTCAGTTATTATCGACCCCCCCCGGCCCCCTACCCTCTAACCCCCCCCCTTGTTTCTGCCAAAAATGTTGAAACAATAATTGAAGGACTTCTCCCTAGCTCAATCTAGATAATGTCAGTTCAAAGAAAGCTAAAATTGCAGACACGATTTTCACCGAAAATTTGAACGACATAATTTAATTATTTACTGTTTAATTTAGCCCAGTTGTAATCCTTTTAGTTTTTAATAAAACGGTCTGTAGGAGTACTTTCAAGTAATAGGGGCATATGCCAAGTCCGATTCACAACGGAACCCTGGAAAACTCTAGCCCTCTAATAATGAGAAAGATATAATATAAATTTTCTGTTTAACTCATGCTTAATTCATATATTTCATACATACTTGATCAGATAAAGGGTTAAAGGGTACCAAATTGTGAATCTGACATGCCATTTTCTAAGCGGATGAGGGTGACTTTAGATTGACTGCCCAGCTTAAAGCCTTCATAAATACCTTTTTTACATTTTTTCACCTCTCCCCTCCCCCTCCCCAAATCCCTAACACCAGAATGCTTTTTGCTTTATTGTCTTTTTTTGTTGCCTTATTTTGCCTGCCTTGATACAAATTGCCTCGGGGGACGGCCTAGTTTGGTAAATGGTTTAATGCCTTAAATTGTTTGAATTTTATGGAATAAAACGATATCAGGGGCGTTTTAATCCAATCTAACGGATCGTAAATATTGAAAGAGCGTGTATGTATGGAGGGTAAAAAAACATACCTCGTAAATCACACTTTAAACCTAAATTTAATTTTATTAAAACATTAAGGTTTTAAGCTTCAGGCTTTTTAGTTTAATGTTAAAGAAACTTTAGGCTGCTTGAAAAAAATTGTCGTTTACTCAGTTAAAAAATATATTTGGATTGCATATTTAAATCAAATCTTGTCGTGTCATGTTTATTTCTAATAGTTAATGATTATAATACGATGAGAGTCATAAACTTTGCTTACAGTCCCTTTAAGGATTATTAAAGGGTAAGATTTCAGAGAACGGGAGGGGGGAAGGATTTTTGGATTAATCTTTACAGTGAGAATATAGTTTAATATAGAATGCATTTATCTGTGCATAAATTACAGGGTTGCATTCACTATATATATATATATTATATACGGTCAATTTCAAGAACTCATTTCCACTGTTCTAGATATTATAGGGCACTCAAAGGGGGTTTGCATTTGAACTCTAAAAGGAAGTAGAAGGGTTTTAGAGGGAGTTTGTTATTTTTTAAAAATAGGTTAAACAAATTATAGATTTTTTGAACTTAAAATGAGTGTTAATTGTTAACAAAATTATATTTTCTGTGCATTCAGGTACCATGTAAACCTTCGTAAGAGCAAAAGTAATAAAGATTTACAAAAATTTTCTCAGAAAACTGATTGTTTCCACTTCCGGTTCTATCCGGCAAGGGCAAGGAAGGGAATTTTCTTCTTGCTTTTGCCCAGTTCTTTTTTGTAGAAAATGTTTAAGATTTAGAATAATTCATTGTTTTATTTAGGAATCCACTAATTCTAACTGGCTTCCTCTTTCTAGCTCTCAGGTAAACATATTGATTGGGTTGACCGTTACATGTTTATTTTTCAGCTGTTGACCTCATGACTACGGTTTATTGATAATGTTTGACCTGATAACTTGAAGAATCATATTTTTCAAAAAACTTATGTTAACCATAAAACTTTTTAATTTATGTTTCTTATTTTAATGACTCATATTGACTTTATAGTTTATGGTCTCTTGTTTTTTGTTTTCTTTGAAATTTTATTAAAATTTTAAAAATCTGCCAATTTTCTAAAAATTTCTGTCTATAAAAATGTATAGCAATTTTTTGTGCTTCTATTCTTATTATTCTTATTAGGGGGGACCCCTAATCATTCACAATATTTAACTAGAAATATTCAACTCGCTCTCAATAGCTATTAATTTTTTTCAAATACAAAATAGGATTCATTTGTAAGAACGCCCATTTGTGTCGGCTGAAAAGTATGGCATGTGCGTCCTGTACATGGCATACCAAAGGTTATGGGTAGGACGCTTATGTACAAATATTTAGGTTCCGTCCCCCCGCCCTGGATCTTGTACAAATTCTAGTCAACTTCCAGAATCGAATCTTCATTTTATCAAGAACCATTGTCTCATGGATAAAGCAGTCCCTAGCAACCCATCACATCCAATATTTATGAGGTGAGTGGAAAGAAACCATTTTTTAAACTCTATATCTTTGCAACTTGATGCTGCACGTAAAACTAGCTACATCTAAGTATTTAAATATTGTATAAAAATATTTTCATGTCATATTTCGATATCTAATTTCAAATCAGTCGAAAATGAAGTAAAAGACTTTATATAACCAAATATAGAACTAAATGGCAAAACAAAAAATTATAAAATATCTAATACAAAAATTTACATTTAAGTAAGACGCACTAGACTTTTAACCAGTGCTTCTAGTTTACCGTGGCTGGAAAACTCAGACGTATTATTAAAAAATAATCTATTAAAGACAACCCTAATTTTCTCTTGTATATTTTTTATTAAAGTAATTTCAAATGTAAACGCATATTGCATATCTGACAAAAATATTGACATTCAAGGTATCAGCCCACTGTGAAAATCTAGCAAGTGTTTAAACCATTGTGCAGCAATTCTAAAACATGTGCCAAGGCATGCCTCTTAACGTTTTTCTTACATTTAAGGGGACTGTAGACGAAATTTCAAGCGACCCGTACAGTTTTAGAGGGAAATGGCATTTTACATCATCTTTTAAAAGTTTTGTCTTATAAATAAATTTGATATTAATGTTTATAATTTTGAAAACTTATTTTATCAATTAAGCTTTCTCTGCAAAAGTGATAAGATAAATATTGTACAGGTAAAGTTGTTAATCGGACTCGCCTCCTTCCAAAATGGCGGGTGACTTGAAGTTACGACTGCATTCCCTTTAAATACAGAAAACTAAAAATTATTCTGTTTAATCAATTACCAAAATGCATTCTATGGCATGAGCTCCTTCAGTTATTTTTTCAAAATTTTTTTCCCCGAAAGATACAATCTGATTTATGGGAAAAATTGCAATAATTTGTTCAATTAAATGTTGAAAGAACGCATTTTTACTCACTAATCAGTAATAATGTATCATGCAGGCATCCCACAGGAATGAAAAAGCAGATTTAAAAATCAACTTTGTAGATTTTAACGTATTTTCGCGGATTTCTCTTGTCAATGTTTCCCGCATTTTGGTTCTTCATCTGCTGACAGGATTACAGAACGCTCACATCATATAATAGAACATCTCAGTTTTCAACAGTTTACACGATTAACCAAGACGAGCATAAAGGTTAAAAGCGCGCATAAATTACAACGCGCATTCGACTCAGATATGCATAGATGGTTTAATTAAGTTGAGACAGGGAAGAAAAATCTTGAAAGTAGGAATATTATTGAGACTAGCGAAGTGAGTTTGTAAGTTAGTTAAGACCAAGGCGTTGCGACACTTTGAGATGACCCAGTCTAAAAATGAAATGCAATGTGGATGAATGTGATATATATCATTGAATGGACTGAAGGGTGTGGTTTAGTGTGGGATATATTAAAGGAGAATAACACCATGCTTGAAATATATACTTTGCACACAAATATACCATAATATAGTTAGAACAATGGGCGGAAACACTGGGGGAGGGAGGTGGGGGGGAGATAGGGGGCATAAGGAAAAGTTAGATGGGGAGTCAATTGCATGGGGAAGGGGGGGGGGTATGAAATTATGAAATTAATAATAAATCCGCCAGCATTTTCCAATAATCCAAAGTGTGGAATATCTAAAATGTACAAATTGTCTTCAAATAGGAAGTATTTAATCAATTATGTGAAAAATGATCGAAAAGATGGCATTGACCATGGGGTGGCAGACATCATAATGTTATCTGATAAATTGATGAATAGATGATCAGTGCACTTTGGAGCACGGAATGACGTTGCGGATTTTCTGTAGAAAATGGCTCCTTAATAACTGACAAAAACGCTTTTATTTTCTTACTTAAGCTGTCATTTAAACTATCATTTTACTTTCTATACACTCTCCCTCTTAAACGAATGTCTGCATTTTAGAAATATTTTTAATAAAATTTCTCTTTCATAACACTGACTGATTTGATTAATTTTCTTTTTTATTTGTGTTTCTATTGTGCAATATTGCGTTAAATTAAATTATAATTTATTGTTTTCTTGTTCTCCCGTTTTACGCCTGCTGCACTGCTTAAAAATCATCTAGTTTTTTTTGGATAAAAACTGAAGAATTATAAAAAATACCCTTTATACAAATTACCTCTTCTTTTTAAATTCTATTTATCTATTCCCCGTTCCTACAAATACAATTCCCCCTACTCCTTTCACCCCCCCCCCCTATTTAAATGTCTAGCCATGAACCTGCACACTCTTTGGTGGGCACTATACAAATTCTACAAATTATATGAAATCATGAACATTTAACAAATAGGAGGGAAATTTCGTTCTACCTTAGACAACCTCCTTTTCCATCGTTCTTACAGGGACATTCGTAGTTTTTAAACCTTTGTATTAGTAAGAGCAAATAAAAGATAGATATCAACATTTATCATCATTTATCAAGAATAGGATTGTATTACGTTGTCTTTACTGCATTAACCCACAAGCAACTTCATAGAGAAATCACAATTGAAAATGTGTCAATTTTTAAACTAAGAAAACAAGTATAATTTAAGAAAGCAAAAATGACGATTAAAGAGTTGAGAATCTGTTTAGTTAAAGGACCACTTGAAATTACGTCTAAAGTCCCTTTAAGAATGATTTAACCTTCCCATCACAATCAATAAAGGTTTAATCATTCTAAAGTTCAAATACTCATTGAATGGAATCAAGTGAAACGATTTTATGTAACGATAAAAACGTTGATTAATTTACGAATACAAATCATAGTTTTGATTTGTTTTGATATGTAATCATCAAAATAAATTCAAGGGACTGTTAAGCGTAATTTCAAGTGACCCTCTATACAAAGATGGCACCCTTAACTTAACATCTTCATCTGATCAATAATGTGGAAGAAATTGTCGTTTTTCTAGGTACAAAAGTGTTGAATTCCAATTATTCCTTTAAGATTTCCTGTCTGTAGAAATGCGCAAGCCACTTTTGTAGAAAACTCCCAATTGAAAATAATTATTTTTCAAACTTATAAACATTAATATATAATTTATACTTGATCAGACAACATTTTGAAGGGTACAGTTGTTAATTGGACATTGTCATTTTTCATACTGGTTCAGTTAAAATTACGCTTACAGTCCGTTTAACCTAATTTTAAAATTAAAAACTGAAAAGCCTTCCAAGAGTTAAAAAAAATCCTCTAAATTTACTTCCCACCCCCATTATTATTTTTACTACTTCATGCAGAGCTGAAAATGCATTTAGCTCGCCGCGGTTTTGATATCTGCAAAAGAGCAAAAGTTTTAGCAAAATGTAAATGAAATTTTGCGTAATTGCGGGTCAACGCAAGTGCCTGAATATCACGGTTTGCAAAAAAGGCATGACAAGCTATTTTCTCATTTTATAGGGTAATGTACACGCAAGGGGTGAGGTCTGATAGATGCATTAGATCTGAAATATCGTGCAAGCAATCATTTTTCAACATCTAGTCGATTGCATTTTAATCCAAGCCGGGCAAAATTGTAAACTTTATTGTTTTAACAAAATATTTACGATGTGTACTTTATATAATACAGGGTGTCCCTCATCAAATTCGATCGTCTATTGCTCTAAATAGAGATTTAATTGGGATTAATCAGAAAACTTAAAAAGAATGAATTATTTAGAAATAATGCATTAGACTAATAAAACAATTTTCGTGCGTAAAATACAAGGTTTTCGAGTATTATATATGTGCGTATTTTGACGTTAAAGCTTAATTGTGAATAATCCAATATGATATGGGACGCTCTGTATATTTCAGCTATAAAAAATCTAATTTTTTAACAAGGCCTTTTAACTTCTTCTGTTCATAATGTCTAACTTGCTGAAAGAATTGATAATTTTGTTCTAAATTATAAACAGTTGGTTAAATATGTGAAAAATATGTAAGATATTCCTAATATTTTGCTCATAATTTCCAATAAAACGATGGTATTTTTCAAAATGCTTTTGGTGCTTTAATAAGAAACAAAATAATTCTTCTTAAAATTATTTTATTTTCTGAACCAAAAATATCAGATACAGTATTAACCAGAAAAGCACTAACTAATTGTGTTTGATTTAGTTACAAAGAAAATAATTTAACTTACTTATTATATTACTTATTTAGTGAATTGGGCTTTTTAACACCGCACAATTGTTGTGTCTCCTGTTCAATGCACTAATTAAAGCCATAAATTGAGTCTAAAAGTCGTCTTCTTATTCACAAGTTTTCTGGTTATCACTGTGGAAAAAAGAATGATTAAATTTTTACAAAAGCCCCCCCCCCCTCCCTTCTCCCCCTCTTCTGGAGATAATTACCATTATCACAGATGGCATTTGTTAGCAATTGATAGTAAAAAGATCGTCCTTGATGCCAATTGGATGTCTCACTCTCTCATCCAATCAAAGCAAAGATTCTATTGACTCGATCTTGCAGGGACTGTAGACGTAGAATATAAGTTCCTTGCATTACGAGGAGATCGCCATATTCATGTTGACAAAAAAACAAAAGTTTCCTGGAAATAAGAGCAATATTCTTGATTCTATAGTTCCAGCAAAATATTATATTCTTTGGATTCTTGATGAAGGCTGTTCTTTATTTGATTCTTGATTTTTGATTGATTCGATATAGTATATCCATTCATATTCTTAGATTTAGATATTTTGTTGTTGTTTGGTCATGAGTTAAAATTGCAATCTAACAAATCTTGTGAAGTTTGTCAGTTTTTTGTGTTTCGTTGAATCCGTCATTTATCTTGTTTTAGAGTAGACAGGTCTGCAAACATTGGAAGATGGAGTAGAGGGGGGGGGAGGGGGTTGTTTGGACGCCACATTCCATCCGTCCAATGCAAGGGGCTGAGCAATGCGTATTTTTGAGAAAAAATAATCAACCAGTAACAAATTTTAACAACATTTTATATTTTTTTTTCATAAAAACTATTTTCTCAATCTTTTAAAATTTTGCTTTAAATGTGAACGCCCCTGATCAGATAGGGGCAGCTACAATAGGGTATAATAGTTATTCCACTATCACTAGACTTAATAGAAATAAGGTTTTTGATAGACACACAGAGAGACACCCATACAGACGATTAGACAGACAGATAATCATACAGACGATTAGACATACAGAGAGACAAGTATACAGCCGATTAGACAGACAGAGAGACAAGTATACAGACGATTGGACAGACAGAGAGACAAGTATACAGACGATAAGACAGACAGCCAAGTATACAGACGATTAGACAGACTGAGACAAGTATACATACAATTAGAGAGACAGACAAGTATACAGACGATTAGACAGATAAACAATCAAACAGACACCCAGACAGACAAGTATACAGAAGATTAGACACCCAGACAGACAAGTATACAGACGATTAGACAGACAGACAAGTATACAGACGATTAGACAGACAAATAAGTATACAGACGATTAGAAAGACAGAGAGACAAGTATACAGACGATTATTCAGACAGAGAGACAATCACACAGACACACGGAAACCAATACAAGTATACAGACGATTAGACACCCAGACAATCATACAGACGATTGGACAGACAGACAAGTATACAAGACAAGTATACAGATGAGCAAAAAATATGAAGAAACCCTTTTTTCTTAAAATTGATAATTTCCAATTATGATTTCTTTTTAGAAATTATAAAAAGGAATTAAACTTTAATACGCTAAAGGTGCGTCTTAAATCCAGCATGGACTCTAAAATAGAGGTTCACTTAAATTACTACAAAAATCTTTTATTAATGAAAAAAAAATAGTTTAGAATTGTATAAATAAAAATGTTTTATTTAGGTCTGGAGTACGAGAAAGGTTTACCAATATAGCCGTAGATAGGGAGGTCAGAGCCCTCAATGGGGAGGTCTTTGACGTCCTCTATTTGGGCACAGATAACGGAAAAGTTTTTCAGGTAAAATGATGTATACAGGGTGTCCCAAAAACATGAGATATAGTAATAATAACGAATTTTTTATCGTATATGATTGACACGATTATCTACAGGGTTATACTCACAACTCACAAGTCACAAAGAATAAGACTGTAAAGACGACTTGAAACTATTCAAATATGACGATTTCAAGTTTAAATAGCTGATTTTATGATTTTACAAAGAAATAAAGAATTGTTTATAGTTGAAGGAATCATGAATATAAGGAAACCAACAATGTACATTCCGTACAGTCGTCTCTGAAGTCTCATCCTTTGTGGTTACTGGGTAACCCTGTATCAGAACTCAAATTAAAACCAACAGACTAACAACGAAACCGGAATTTCCTAGTTAGATCTGTTTTGGTTTTATTGTATACAGTGTGTCCCTAAAAAAGGTTGGAATCATTTGACGACTTTTACTATATTTTTTTGGTTCCGCGTAACCTTTATTCTTGAATACAATAATAGTAGTATCCCAGTTACAACTTATTACATAATCTTCATATATTTTCATCCTGTGGCAATAATTTTGGCAAGAAAAATAGCCCAAATTTGAAATATCAAATGCTTCCACCCTCATGTTGCAAATATTTGAGTTATTATAGTAGATTTGATTCTATATAACTATTTATTTTCATCAAATCTTAAAAACCTTAATGGAATATTTTAGTATTTTAAATCCTAACTACTTCTATTTCTTAACAACGAACAAGTATATAAAAAATGATTCACTTTAAATAAAGTAAAACAAGATTTATTTGGGTAAAATGGAATAAAATCAGATAGTATTATAATTAATGTTTTAATTTTCTTATCGTAAATTTTATCTAATTGATTAACGAGGTATATCTGGTTGCTCTCTATATAATATATACAGGGTGAGTAAGAACGCCAGGATTTACTCACTGAATTTGTTTTTGCGAGGCACATGTTTTAGGTTAAAAAAATATAAAAATATAGTGAACGAAATGCATGCATGCATGAAATTCGCGAAATTTTATAAAAAAAATCTGTTGATAAATGAAATAGTTACATAGAACAACAATTCCGCAAAAAGTTATTAATGTAAATTTTCACCAAATCTTACTAAATAAAACATCGTAAATGTTTTTACTAATTATAAATCTTCCACATAAAGCAATACATTCCAAAAATTGTTATTGTTTTAAAGATTCTATTTTGCAGAACTGTAAGATTTGACAAGATTTGGTGTACGTATTAATTTTGGCTTTTTTGTTAGCATTCCTTTATTTATTAATACATTTTATAAAACTTTGGGATATAAAAAAATTCTGATAGATTTATTGATATTTCAAAAAGAAGTTTCGCATTTTTGTTCTATTGTACCCAAACAACATTTATGCAGTGCATTTTAATATTTTTTAACCTAAGAAAAGAACACAGCAGCAACAAAATTTATTTGTTAAAACGTACAATGCTATTCTTGTTTACTCACCTTGTTCAATGTACAAAGTATGTGTATGAAATAACAAAGTTCGACACAATTTTTAAATTTGTTCACAACATTATTTATTCTCTTTCTTTGTATTTTTGTTGCTGTTAATCTTTTTATAAACTTACTCTATTTTTTTTGTTTTATTGTGATCTGAAAATATTGTTCTTAGTTTTGTTGTGGATCTTTTTCTTAACATTGTTTTAAAAAAAATTGGCTTAGATCTTGATCCCTTTGATTTTTGTATGGCCTTGGTTCATCGTCCATGTTCTTTATTATTTCAATTCTTTTATTTTATAATTACTTTTATCTTGCATGCTTATTCTTTTTTACTATGTTCTTGTAAGCATTGAGCGATAATAAAGTTATTTTTAATATGATTCAAGATACCTGAGTCGAATTTGAATGAGCTACTCTCATAATTAATTCAGAGATTAATTATTCAATAAAACCTTAATAGTTTTGCATTTTATGCTAATGTTTAATTATCATCAGTTTTATCTTCTGTACCCGTTTATCAAGGTACTAAATATCAAAATGAATGTTCTTCCTGTTTTACTTAAGTTTAAAGGAATTGTTCACGTTTAATATCATAAAAATCATAATATAAGATTTTTTAAAACTTTAGATCACAAAAGCCAGTCTTACCACTTAAAGATATTCAATACTCACTTTCTTCAATGCGCATTTAGAACACGGTTTTGTAGTTTTACGAATTTTTTCGAAATTGAACAGACAAACATAGATAGATAGATATATATTTCGACTAACATTATAATAAATACATTTTACATTTTATAATTTTTTTACTAAACAATTATTAGCCAGGGCTACAGCCTAACCATTTCTGGTTGTTTTGATTGGCTGGCCCTCCAAAGTTTTATAGATACATTTTATTTTTTAAAATTAACAAATAACGAATACATTACACAATTCACAAAGTAATTTTTAAAAAAAGGAAAAAAAGAAGGATGGGTGAATAGCAATATATGAATATCTATATATACACATATTATAAAGTAGTAATCTCTATTTGTTTGTTTTCTGTTTGTACGATCATAACTCATCAACCTTTTCACCGATTTGCCACAAATTTTGATTGGGAACACGGTTGAACCACAGGAATGGTCTTGCAAGGGTAAAAATTAAAAGTTTAGTGGGTAAACTTTGTAGAGAAAGTTCAGCTTTCAGTTTCAAAGCTGGATTCGCAAGCTAGTTTATAGTATGTATGTTTCTATATATGGAGCTTCATAGCTTGATATGGCAAAGTTGATCAAATTCATGTTCCTAATCCCAAAAGTTGAAATTGGGTTATTTTAAGCATTTTAGTAACGATGAAAAATCAGACAAACTACCACTACGGCATTTAAATTCGAAATAGCATTTTCTTGGTTTTTACAGTTTTAATAAATTGTTGGATTCAGGTTGCCACGAATCCGCAAAACCCTGGACCTGAAACCTCCAGGATTCTTGAATCTCTCCAGTTGTTTCCTGAAAACACTCCAATCCGAAACCTCCAGATTATCCGACCCAGCCTGGAGACAGGACAGGACGGTTTGCCTAAACTAGTTGTTGTATCTGATGATGAAGTCAAATCCGTCCCTCTGGAGCTATGTGATGAATCTGTGAGCTCCAATCTACACGAGGGATGTACACGCTGTCTAGCTATGAGGAGTCCGTACTGTGGATGGGACCTGGAGCTGGGATCCTGTGTTCCTCTCACTACCCGGAGTAGGTTGAATGGAATTCTTCAGGATATTTATCTTGGAGTTCATCCGTCCTGCCCTCCTCCTCCTCCTCCACCCACCCCCTCAACAACAACAACTACAACAACAACAACCACAACTACAACTACAGCTACCACTACAACAACCACAGGTAATAAGCTATTTAATTTTTTAACCAAGGAATGGTATTGCTACTTGCCCCAAAACCTAGAATTCTATAGTTTGAAATTTATTTTGTTAGAAAATTTGAGTTTAAGCCAAATAATCAGTTCTTTTGCATGGTTTTCAGGGGAAAATAGATACGAAAAAGGTTTTCATTTCTCTAAAAATACTTAAAACATGTTTTGTACCCAGTCCATTGATGAGTAGAAACCTGTTTAAGATTTATGTTTGCATGCTGAACACTCATAAACAAAAGACTTTTATTCTTGCATTCATTCATTCAACATCCATGCAATATTAATTCATTAAAATTAAAACTTGTAAATGGTTTTACTGTTATCGCAAAAAATGGCTAAATGTGCATCAACTTATTGATAATGATGACATAACTTATTGTGACTGTAACCACCTTTCAAGTGACCCTCAGTTTATGGAGTGGCATTTCTGATTTACAACAGTTAAGCATATTCTAGCAAAACATTGTATATTTTCAATTGTAAGATTTAAACGGGTTACGCTACAGAGACAATGAAGGAAACTGTGAGAATTCAGAACGTTTTAATTTAATATAGGCACACGACGGTATCTTTCTCATTGTTTCTCAGATAGTGGTTTAATGGGTACCTTTGTGAATCACAGAGGTTGAAATTATGTCCGTTGGAGCGTTTATTTTATGATACATTTTAACTCTTGATGCAAAAATAACGATGCATAAACCCTGAACTTTTCCTCATTAATCTTATGATACATTAATGTCATGATACATTATCTTAGTTAATGTCATGATACATATTCTTATCAAGCTGTGTCAATTAGTAATGTAAAGATACAAGATTTGGCGCAAAAAAAACCCTAAATAATGTATTTTTTAAATTAGTTTTTTTTGCATAATTGGATTCATTCAGTGTTATCAGTTTAATCTCATCTGTTGCAGCTTCTGCATTCATTGAAAGATGCATCTTAGCATTCATCTAATAGATTTTTTTCAACACCCACCCCTGCAAAAAACGCATTTTTTTCATTCATAATTCTTTAAATTTATTCTTTTCTTCAGCTTCAAATATTGAATTCCGTTTTTGATTCTTTTATTTATAAATCGGTGACTCTATCAGTTTATTCATCCACTGTCCGAATTTCATGAATTTGAGTCGCGGCTTAAATCTACCAAAAACCAGTTTCAATTGAGCGCTGGCTTAAATCTTGAAAAATTGAATACAATTTTAAGTGGAACCAGCCGGCCGTATTTGAGCCGCGGCTTAAATGTTTGGTTTAGCCTCCGCTAAACCAAACATTTATCTGTCTGTCTTTATATTCTTGGCCATAAACATAATTTAAACCAAGAAAACTATGTTCACGTCAAAAGTTGTAAATTGCACCAGCCCTGTCTTTGCTGAATATTCAAGAACATTTTTCTGAATTGAAAACTGCAACATGTCAGAATCAATTTAGCAAAGCTAGCGAACCATTTCAAATTCGTGAAGAACCATTCATAATTCATTTACAGTTTAGATTTTCAATACAAAGAAATTGAGTCTTTGCCACAAACTTTGATTTTCTAATTCCTATGTTTGTAAAACCCTTAGACCTTAGATAGTTCAAACTATGAACTCGTTTAGATTAAAAAATCAAAATTCGAAATGTCAAAGGTTCACACGATCAGGTTAAAAAAATATATGGTTAAGACAATTTGACTCAATTAATTTTTTTAATATAAAGGAAATGATTATTAGCCTCAATCTCTTATGGTACAATCCCTATATCTTTGCAACCTTATGTATTAAATGTCTACAATATCCTAATAAAGGGATTGCTGTCAATTTTTCAAGGAACCCTCAACTCAAAAGGTCGATTCACAACGGTTCCCTTTAAACCTTTCTCAAATTACCAATGATAAATTCGTTTTTCCATCTTGAAAATATTAATTCTATCAAGTTCCTTCCTTGTTTCAGCTGCATACATCTAAAAATATCTTAAAGAGAGAGATTGTTATTAAAAATTATCATTTTTCAGATAGTAAAACAAGGATATCGATTATTTTTGGCTCAAATTGAGGGTCTGTATAATCTACGTAAATAGTCCTTTAAGTTAGAGATGTTTACTGAAAGCGAAACATAAAAGTACATTTGTTCAATCTTTTCGTTTCTTGACTTCGGTATTTTGTTCCGCCATACATTTACATTTTCTACTTATTTTGCAAATCCGTGTTTAAAGTTTTGCAAGGCGGGGTTTGCAGAAATCTATTCAGCTATTTTAAAGTCATCAATGTCATAAAATGATATTGCTATTTTGAAAAATACGTTTAGTTTTTGGTCTTAGTTTTCTTCTAGTTATCTTCTAGTTTTCTTCTAGTTTTCTTATAGTAGTCTTCTAGTGTTCTTCTAGTTTTCTACTAGTTTTCTTCTAGTTTTCTTCTAGTTTTCTTCTAGTTTTCTTCTAGTTGTCTTTTAGTGTTCTTCTAGTTTTGTTTTAGTTTTGTTCTAGTTTTTTTTTCTAGTTTTCTTCTGGTTTTCTTCTAGTTTTCTACTAGTTTTCTTCTAGTTTTCTACTAGTTTTCTTCTAGTTCTATTTCATTTTGCCGGTTATCTTTAGTTTTGCCGGTTCTAGTTAATTTCGCCAGTTCTGTTTCATTTTGCCGATTCTATTTCGTTTTGCCGGTTCTATTTAATTTTGCCAGTCGTATTTAATTTTGCCAGTTCTGTTAAATTTTGTCGGTCTTGTTTAATTCACCCAGTTCTATTTAATTTTGCCAGTTCTGCATTTAAAACCAGAAAACTCTGGAATGTCAAGTCGACTTAAAATAATCTAATAAACATAAGGGACTGCAAACGGGTATATTGCAAATAGACCCATTTCACTAAGGAACTTCTATTTGCTTCGTAACAACATCAAATGGACTTTAGTTTTGCTTTAAGGTCGTCTTCCTATTCTACAGTTTTCTGGTTATCACTGTATTTTATTTTGCCGGTTCTGTTTCATTTTGCATAGCTATAGATCTGGTTGAAATCTGTATTTTCTGGTTTTTTGGTTTCTGAGTTTGGATTATTGTTGAAATGAGGCTTTTAACATCTATTTACTTGTCAAATTCAGACTAAGAGAGAAGTTTTTCAATATTTCAAACAATTCAAACTGATGTGAATCAAATGTTTTTATGAGGGTTGAACCGAAGGGCAGAGAGGGGTAATAGGTTATTGCAAACAGTTATTTAAAATTTACTTTTCCAAAACCCTTATTTTGCCAATTCGTGAGATTTATTTCTTTTGGGTTGAATTTACAAGTTTTGAAACCTACAGGGTGTCCTACGAAGTTTGAAAGTTCTGGGATACTTGAAGCTCGTCTTTAAAATAATTTGCAGCATTTATTCAGTAACCTAATTTTAGAAGAAAAATTCTTGAATAAAAAAATACCTTTAATCTTGGTATTTCAAAAATTTAATCTTCCAGATGGGGTTGATAAGCAAATTATTTCAATGCTCAAAGACGATCTTCATGCTTCATATTTCGTTGAATACCCTGTCTTATGCATTTTATGGAAATTAATTTGTGCCTTACAAACCATGCTTCAATGATAACCTCAAATTTGTTTTTTTTTGTGCAAAAAAATAAAATCAAATTCTTCGATGGCTCATGGCTCATAAAATAATGCAATCTTTTTACTAATCCGTCATTTTTAATCATTAATAATATCTCCTCCAATACCAACTATAAATATAAATATAAATTAGTATAAATTAATTCGCAATTGTTTTGTTTCCTTGGTTAACCGTGACAAATTATTCCTAAAAAAACAAATTAAATTTATGATTGAAGATGGGAAAATATTGGTCTTGACATTGAACAAATCCACCAAACTATGGGAGAGGATCTCCTTCTCTCCCCATACCCTTTTCTCTCCATTCTTCCCCCCCTCCATCCTTCCCTTCCTTCCCATCACCCAATTCCTTCTCCATACCCCTCCTCCTTTGCCCTAGCTCTCACTCCGTTATACGCCTCCATTATATGATCCCTTCATTTATTTTCCTGTTCCGTTCATAAAATGTTAAAGATATTTCTTTGATCCTTAAGTACAACTGGATCTCTTTATCTAAACACTATTAAGTTTACAACTGCAAAAAGCCCCTATTAAGTATTTAATTAGTTTTTATTTGTGTTTAATTGGGGCTATTTTGCCAAGCTTCCCTCTTTTGTCTGGGGGGCCAAACATGTATCTATACAATGCACTAGGTCGGTGACAGTAATGTTTTATTTAATCTCTTATCTATCTATTTATTCATGCGTCTGCAAACCCTAAAATATTCTTTGTAATATTGATCATTTTGTTATAATCTAAGAATGTTAGGAATATCTCACCAAATTTTAGCTGGGCTGGGCATGATTCAGTGTTCAAAAACATTATCGAAAGAACTACAAAATATTTTGTCTCTATAATTTCTTTTATTTTCTCTTTTATTAAATTTGTTTAAAAACTAAATTATTATCATTGATATCGTTATTGTTTTATAGAAGTTACGATTGCTACAACAGATGCTGGTGAGACTACGTCAACTGCTACTGAAGCTGACAGAAAGACGACATCTACACAATCGACCCTACTTCTACCCTATCCTAGCACAACTATACCAACCCCTTGCACATGTCCAGCATGCACAAACTTTTGTCCCTCCCCTCCCCCTTCCCCATTCAGTAAACCGCAGGGAAGAGGGCAGGATATAGATTCAAGTAGGTTTTATTCAGAAAAATATTAAGTATTTAGATTAAAACATTCTAGCAATAAATTTAAATTATGTAAAGACACTGTAGATTTAATTTGAATTGACTCCTTATTTGAGCAGTGACATGTCGGATTCACAACGGTACGCTGTAAAGCTTTGTCTGATTAAGAATGAATGAGATATTCATGTTTTTTTACTTTAATTAATTATTTTAAATTATGTTTCTGGATAAAAGTGACCTGCAAAAGTGCTGCGGATACAATAGTTCATTGTTAAAGTTAAATCAAATGTCAAATATAAAATCGAGGATATCTAACACATTGTTTAACATAAAATACCTGCCGTTGTGAATCCGGTATGCACCTCTTCAAATTGAGGGTCTTTTAGATTACATCAACAGTTTTTACTGATATTTAGCAATTATTTTACTAATATTTAGCAATTATTTTACTAATATTTAACAATTATTTTTCTAATATTTAACAATTATTTCACCAATATTTAGCAATTATTTTACTAATATTTAACAATTCTTTCACTAATATTTGGCAATTATTTCTCCAATATTTAGCAATTATTTTACTAATATTTATCAATTATTTCACTAATATTTAACAATTATTTCACTGATATTTCGCAGTTATTTCACTAATATTTAGCAACTATTTTACTAATATTTAGCAATACTATTTAACAATTATTTTACTAATATCTAGCAATTATTTTACTAATATTCAATAATTATTTCACTAATATTTAGCAATTATTTCACTAATATTTATCAATTATTTCACTAATATTTATCAGTTATTTCACTAATATTTAGCAATTATTTCACTATTATTTATCAATTATTTCACTAATATTTAGCAATTATTTCACTAATATTTAGCAATTATTTCACTAATATTTAGCAATTATTTCACTAAAATTTAGTAATTATTTAGCCAGTATTAATTATTTCACTAATATTCAGCCATTATTTCACTAATATTTAAAAATAATTTCAATAATATTTATCAATTATTTTACTAATATTTATCAATTATTTCACTAATGTTTAACAATTATTTCACTGATATTTGGCAGTTATTTCACTAATATTTAGCAACTATTTTACTAATATTTAGCAATTTTTCTTACAAATGTTTACCAATAATTACTTTTGATTTTTCTTCTACTAAAGTATTAGTTTACTTTGATAATTAAGTAATTGGAAAAACTTTTAGAATTAAAAAAGTTTTTATTTTTTCATACTATTTTCATTATTTTATCTCTTTTGCCTCTTCTTCTTGTCACCCCTATAGCCCCCCCCCTGGCTTGTTATTTTGCATGAACAGCAGAATGTACCTCTACCCGCATGCTTGTATAAATGCCTGCATAAATATGCTTAATTAACAGTAGTAACATGCTTTTTTAAGTAGGAGATACATATACAAAATACATATATATACATATATACATATATATGCAATATACATTCACTCTTTTATGCATTTTCTATTTATTCAATTAAATTCTATCTATCTATCTATCTATCTATTTGTTATTTTTGTAAATATATTTACGATAAAAGAACAGCTGACTTTGTGTATAACCTTTTAACCCCTCCTCTCCGGATTAAAAAAAATGCGTAAAAAATTATTTTAAGAATAATTCTGAAATTTACATTAGTTTCGGAATTTTTTTGCATTGTTTTTCTTTTAATTGGCTAATTCATATAAAATAACATGGGAATGATAAATTTATAATTTTTTTAATGAATGGTTGAGATTTTGAAAGGTCTCTTTGAATTTTAAATGATGCAAAAAATGTAATCAAGATAAAAAGTGAAATTATGAAAATGCAATTTGTTTTATGCAAAGGAATAATTTTATGAAATAGAATTCTCACAACTTTAAAACAGGTTTCAAAGTTTTTGCAGTGCCAAATAGTAATAATATTTATGGACTTTAGAAGTTATTTCGAGTGCCGGACAATATATATTTCGAGTGGCGGACCATATATATTTCGAGTGCCGGACAATATATATTTCGAGTGCCGGACCATATATATTTCGATTGCTGGACCATATATATTTCGATTGCCGGACCATATATATTTCGAGTGCCGGACCATATATATTTCGAGTGCCGGACTATATATATTTCGAGTGCCGGACCATATATATTTCGAGTGCCGGACCATATATATTTCGAGTGCCGGACCATATATATTTCGAGTGCCGAACCATATATATTTCGAGTGCCGGACCATATATATTTCGAGTGCCGGACCATATATATTTCGAGTGCCGGACCATATATTTCCAACTTTATCTGTCAGATTCACCACTGGGCCATTTAAAAGTTTGTCTTATCAAGGATGAATATCTTTATTTTTCAAGCTAAAAATTAATTATTTTTAATTGATGCTTTTTTTTGCTATGTGCAAAATAACATATAAGACTATTTTTGATACCCCCTCTTCTTTTTTTTTAAGAGCTGATCTTGCTCACCTCTATATTTTTTAATAAACCGGTTTAAGATTAAAGATATAACAGTTTCACTTCTTAATATAAGAATATTATTTGGTATAAAGAAACAGCTTACGAATTTTAAAGTAATTTTTTAATAAACGTTTTGCCAAAAAAAACTTCTTTATGTATTTTTTCCAGTCAACTTTCAATTTAATAAATACAAAAATTGGATTGTTGTTACGAAGTTTCTTTAAAATTCCCACTCAGTCCCTTTAAACTTAGCTAATTTAACCATTTGCATTCATAAGACGGACTTGGTATTCGTAATTACTCATTTAATATTCAATGTTAAACATAATTCAACATCTATTCAAAATATTTTCGCTTCAAGTTGGAAAACAAATCAGTTTTTGTAATTTACTCATTTACATTGGCTTCAAGCCAATATTGAAGATAAAGTGTTTACAGCTTTTAGCTTTTTAGTTGTATTATGTATGCATACATGCTTTTTGTGCAGGATTCAACACGTAGTGAAATAATGAAAAGGAACAGGTTTTTTTTCACAAACTCAGAATTTCTACGCTCAATATTTCTGCAACTGGATAGTTTAAAACTTTGATATTTCAAACTCAAATTATTTGATCCACCAGGATTCTTAGTTTGAAATATCTATGGTCTACGACATTGGGTTGCAAAGTTATAACGCTAGGAACATTTGAATTTGTGGCAAAGACGTAATTCCTTTTGCATGAGAAAAACTAATTGTTAGAAACTTTGCATGTATCTAAATAAAAGATTAATCAAAATTGTTTTTTGATTTTAGAAAATTTTCAAAATGAATTTTTTGTAAATAGTTTAGTTATGATATGATTATATGTAAAAAAAACAAATCATGCCACGTTTTGTTCCTAAACAATTTTCAATAAAACTTACAGAGTTACCCAACAAATATGAGACTTCAAAGACGACTTTATAGAATTTATGCAGTTTTTTTCTCATGTTTCTCTGCACCAAAAATCTGTTTGCTTTTGTCAAATAATTTAATATAAAACAGATTTGAATATTGAGAAGAAGTTGAACTTCTATGACCTAGGTGAACCACTTGCAAAGAAAGGCTCAACTTAGCCTACTACAACTAGCTCAAAATTTTCTATAAACATGGTCCCGTTCAATTTGGTCCCATAACCTTAGATTTATATCGTAATACAACTCTAATTCTTTGTGTGTAACTCTGTATAATAAGGAAACTAAAGGAACTATAATTTCAAGTGAATCTCCACTTATATGTTGGTATTTCCGATTCACAACGGTACCTGCAAAAATCTTTTTTATCTAAAGTGAATTAGTTTCACTTATTTATTTCATTTATTTCAATTGTGGTTTCTCTGTTAAAGTGACTAGCACATTACTGTGGTAGAAACAATGGAGGGAGTTGTCAGATCAGAACATTTTAGAAAAGAGACAATATCTATCTCATTGTTATTCAGATATCGGTTTAAAGGGTACCGTTGTAAACTGGGAATGTCCTTTTTAAACTAAGAGTCACTTGAAATTCCAACGACAGTCCCTTTAATGTAAATATTATCAGATGAAGTTGATGATGGCGAGGTAGCAGGAGAAGTAAATGAAGATGAATATAATTATATAGAAAAAGAAGAATTTGGTTTAAACTATCTATCTATCCTTGATCCTAAACCAGGTAAGAATAAAACAAACAGACACACTCCAAGACGGACAATTAAACAAACAATTAGACCCAATCAGATCCTAGGGACTGATCCAGAATGTCCAGATTTAGTCTTTAAATAATCCATATTTTGTCTTATCTTTGAAATCTGCGTAATTACAACCACAGCATTTGTCCTATCTGTGAAATCTATGTAAATATGTCGACAGCCTTTGTCCTCTCTGTGAAATCTGTGTAACTTCATCGACATCGTTTGTCCTAACTGTAAAATCTATGTCAGCATCTTTAGTTCTAAAAATATGTTTAATGATAAAGACGAAATATCTGTTAAATATGTGTAATTTATGACTTTTGTTGTCCGATTTGAGTAATCTGTATAACCAAGAAGAAATATTTTTTAATCTGTGGAACGTATGTTTTCCTATCTGAGTAATCTGTGTAACTAAGAAGAAACATTTATCTAATCTATTTAACTTATGTTGTCCTATCTGAGTAATCTGTATAAATAAGAAGAAATATTTATTTAATGTTTGGAACTTATGTTGACCAATCTGAGTAAGCCGTGGAACTATGTTGTCTTATCTGAGTAAGCTGTGGAGCTAAGTTTTCCTATCTGAATAATTTGTGGAACTATGTTTTCCTTTCTGAGTAATCTGTGGAACTATGTTGTCCTATATAAGTAATCTGTGGAACTATGTTGTCCTGTCTGAGTAATATGTGGAACTATGTTGTCCTATCTGAGTAATCTGTTGAACTATGTTGTCCTATCTGAATAATCTGTGGAACCATGTTGTCCTATCTGAGTAAGCTGTGCAACTATGTTGTCCTATCTGAGTAATCTGTGGAACTTTTTTGTCTTATCTGAGTAATCTATGGAACTATGTTGTCCTATCTGAGTAATCTATAGAACTATGTTGTCCTATCTGAGTAATCTATGATAATATCCAACATGTTTTATATTTAACGTCACTTCTAACAACCTGATAAGAATAAACTCTCCTAAATAAACTGGATTTTAAACTTGGATCCCCCACCGCCCACCTCCCCAAACCTTATCCTTAAATAACATGATATTTTTATCAAGAATTCACTACNCTACCCACAAAAAATAGGGGGGGAGGGGGTCAAAGTAAAACCCTCATGATTTCACATTCAATTATATTTGACTTTATTTTGAAGTAGGTATTTTAATCCCTGTAAGGATAGATGGGGTTGGATACTAATTGTTTAAAAGTTAAAACTGACGGGATTCATGGTTAAAGATTTTAGTCTTTGCCACGAAAACAAATTATCGAATCCCTATTTCTTAACAAAACATGATAGTGTAAACCTCAGATATTTCAAACTGAGGTTATTCTATCTAACAAGATTCATAGTTTTAAATATCTTAGACCTACGAAATTGGGTTGAAAATAATTAATAATTCGAAAATCAGAGTTTGTGGCAAAGACTTAATTCTTTTTAAAGAAAATACACATACAGGGTTATCTCCAAAGAATAAGACTTTAAGAAAGCTTAAAAAGTTAAAGGGTGTGAGATAAAACGTCATAGTAATGAACTTGATTAAAACATCTTACATATGTTTAAATAGAGATAAAGGCGAATAACAAGTATTGTTATTTTATTTCCACGTTTTTTCTTCTACATTCTAATATCCCCCCTAGCCCCCCCCCCCCCTCGCCTCGCTAACAGTAGAATATGAGAACATGTCAAATCCTTTCATGTTTCATAAAATATTACTCACCTAAATCAATACTTACACAATGATCTCTTCAAGTTGGACAAAAACAGTTTCAAGATTTAACTATTAATAACATGGCCCAGTCCACATTTTTAAGATTGGTTAATTATATAAACTGACCTAGTAGGGTGTAGCAAAATATAAATATTATTTAAACTACATTTAGGGTGAAGCAAAATGTAAATATTTTATAAACTACAGTTAGGGTGCAGCAAAATGTAAATATTTTATAAACTACAGTTAGGGTGCAGCAAAATGTAAATATTTTATAAACTACAGTTAGGGTGCATCAATATATGAATATTGTATAAAAGAACATAGTTAGGGTGGAGCAAAATATAAATATTGTATAAGCTACGGTTAGGGTGCAGCAATATATGAATATTGTATAAATAAACATAGTTAAAGGGCAGCAAAAATAAGCGTATTAAAAAATAAAAAAAAATAAACACTTCTCTTAAAGTCTGAATTCCCAATAGTTATAGTTCCAGCTTGATGTTGTAATTGGCTCTAATTTATATTAAACTTTTATTTGATCTAGCAGATTTTACAGTATTAACGAATCTGAAAGTACCTAGTACCTAGTAAACAAGATTATGAAAAAGAGTAAAATTTGCTGCCCCCTAATCTGAGGGCGCCCCAGGTTTGGTTTATTTTGAGTCACTGCACACATGCGTGAAGTGACATTGCGTGAAGATAACGTTTTTAAACACTTTCAAAGAAATTCTCTTAATGAGAAGCATTTGAAGAATGAACCCAAAAGTTGTATCATAAAGTTTATTTTGCGGACCTTTGATAAAAACGCCCTAACAAAATGTTTCAACAAATATTTTTCAAAAAAAAACTTGTTTCTTGTTTCAAATCAAAGTTTTTATTCCGTTTAAACTGAGGAACAATAGATCGATGACATATTCTATAAACCTGCAGTAGGACCTTTTAACCTGTGGTAAAGGAAGACGACATTAAAAAATTGTATGTGTAGATATTTGATGCTGTTTTAAAGCACATAGTTAAACTAGTTTGGCTTGAAAATTAGCCTGGAATTGATACAGTGTACAGTGCTTCATATTCATTGGACTATTCAAACTTGAGCCTGACACCCCCACTCACATAGATCCAGAATGCAGCAAAAAAGTTGCATCAATTTTTGAAGGCTGGGTCAACTTTAAAATGTAGTAACGCCATGTTCCTCGTTTTAAAGCGTATTTGGAAAATTTCTCATTGATTGTTTTCTTGCGACACTTAGATCATTGTATATTTATTGATTTTATTTATTAATTTTCTGATATTTTCCAGTGATTGAGGATGATCTATATGAGCTGAGTACTGTTGTAATATCTGCAGTAATTACTGGGATACTAACTCTTATACTTGGATTCATCATTGGATACTTTGCTACAAGATCATGTAGTATCAGGTAGATACCATAATAAAAATAATACTAATAATAATAATAATAATAATAATAATAATAATAATAATAATAATAATAATAATAATAATAATAATAATAATAATAATAATAATAACAATAATACTACTACTACTACTACTACTAATAATAATAATAATAATAGTAATAATAATAATAATAAGGATAATAAGAATAACAATAATCATCTTTTATAAAAGCAAAAAGCAAATCTTCTTAATGAAGAACTACACAAATTAATAAGTAAAAAAAATGTAACCTTTTTTCGAAAAAAAATTTATATATTTTTAAGATCTGGAGCTTCAGTTACTTCTAGTAATGTTTCCCTGGTCAACCCCTGTCCTTCAGATAAGTAAGTAATATCATTTTTTTCATAAAAATTCTTTTAATTTCCTTCCTTGTCTTTGCTGCACAAATCTTGAATCCGACATGAATATCTTTAAGTGAAGGGTCACTGTAAATATGTGTATTGGAACATAATATGTTTTCAGCCAGATGTCATTGGTTGTAAAGTTTTTAAGCTGTAAACCATCAAAGCTATTCTAAATCCAATTTCTTGGCAAAATTTTACTTTCTGCGCTGTGGCTTAATAATTGCAGATTCAAGCTTGATGAGGAATTTTTAGGCTGAAATCTGCAATGGAAATAATACACTTTTGGTTAAATGTTTTTGATATTTTTGAGAATTCATATTTTTTATTGTTTCAGATCCATTCATGAAGATTCCGGATACAATACTCCAACCATACCTGGAGATACATCTTCTCCATCCTACCCTGCCCCTCCCTCATCCTTCTCCTCCACCTCCTCCTCCTACCCTCCCTCATCCCTCACGTTCTCCACCCCCAACTCCTCCCCTCCCCACCCCAGTCCTGTTTACTGCACCCCTAATTCCTACTCTAGTCTACCCTTTTCAGATAATTACAGTAATAATAATAATACTCACCGTAGTCTACCAGTTCAACAACCTACATCAACCCTTCCCCATCCTCCGTCAACCACTTTAACCCCTCAATCAACCTCTAAAACCCCTAAACCATCCTCTACCCATGCTAGCCTGGATACTCGTGTATCTATCCCTAAAAGTGAAGGTTCTATGAGACCAGAAAAGGCTCGAGTTTCTTCCACGGGAACCTTGCAGCGAGTTAAACGTGTTTATCTATAATCCCTGAGCTGTAAGCTAACCGTGTCCTATATAGAGCTTCAAGTGTGAAAAAAAGAAACTGATTTTAGTTCTTCTCTTATTCTTCATCCTAATCTCTCATCTCTGATGAATATCGAACCCTGAAAAGGAGAGATAAAAGTGTTTCATGTTTAAAGGGACTGGTTGCGGAATTTGAAATGAGCCCCAATATAAAGAGTTTCATGCCCGATTAACAACGGTACCCTTTAAACCTTTATCTTATCATCGTTGACAGAGATATCCTTATTTTTCATGCTAAAACTCGAGTGTTCAGTCTTAAAAATTAGAATTTCTCAATCATCGCAAATCAGACAAAGATTTAAAGTGTACCATTGTGAATCGAACACAGTCTTTGTTCCAATAGAGGGTATTCTAGAATAACGCCTTCAGGCTCTGCAATCTCTCAAAGCGATCCCAGATACTATAGATTTACTTACAGACCATGACAAAAATGAAAAAAATTTTAAAATTATATTTTCTCACAGTCCAGTCAACCAACTGCAGTCACAGTTGAGTATGAATATGTATGTAGAGAGGACAATGTACACAGTACAGGAAAATTAGCTTGTTTTTCTAAAACATTTTTGCTTTTTTAGAGTGGTATTTTCATTCCATGTACGTTGTACAATATACATAAATACTCTTAAAAACCTAAACTGTGAAAGTTTTATATAAGTTTTTGATTTTAATACTTTAAAAATGATCCCACCTTGCCAATTTTAATGTATGTTTATATCTATATAGTATTTATATTTTCTGTACTTTACTGTACTGTACTGTACTGTACTGTACTGCATTGTACTGTACTGTACTGTACTGTACGTTACTGTACTGTACTGTACCGTACTGCACGATGCTGCCTTTTCAGCAGTTGTTCTTGTTATTTCCTGAAACATCAAATTTAGTCATTTAAAAATCTCCCCCGGCCTAGATAGAGACCCATATATGTATGCCTTTAAAGTGTGGAAAACATTGAAACCGCCAATTGTACAGATTGTCTAAATTAACTGAAATTGGCAAATGTCAATGTAATAGTCATTCATGTAGAAGTTGAACGAACTGTTCATTCATAAAGCTTATCAATCATACAATTTTCCTAAAATTGATGAAATTTGTGACAACAGTTTTTTTAACACAAACTTGTAATTTAGTCATGTTCGTTTTTGTAACTTATATACTTTATTATAGTTTTTAATATGGTTCATAATATGTAAGTTCAGTAAAAGTCCTAACACTGAATCTTTTTTATATTGAGCTTTTTATCAGTCAAACTTTTTAAATCTAAAGTTAAGAAAATGTGACAGTTTAAAATCAAAATGTCCTCTGCAGATTTTTAAATTTCAATGAAAGTTTCCCGTATTTTTTATTATCCCTATCTGCATTAACTAGGCTGTGATATAAATGTATGTATACACTATACTCAAATATATTTTTATAAAACTTTTTCTTATTTATTTAATCTTGATTGACCATCAAACCATAAACTCAGTCCAGACTCCAGTATGCGTCATAAACGTCCGACCAGTCTGAATTGTTGACATTTTTAAGATGTAGGATGTACAAATATTCCTTAGTAATAGGACTTTCCAGAATTGTCCGTCGGATTAGAGTGGTCCAACTATTTTAAACAAATTCAAGAAAAATTGAAGGCAAAAATTGAATTTAATTTTTAAGATTATTAGAACAGTTTTTGGGACACTCTGTCAAATCGTTAAACTTGCAATCCCTATTCTTCCATCATTATTGTCAAAGATACTACAGAGTCTGCCCCAAAAAAAACATTAAACAATTTTTTGAGAAAATACTTAATTTAAAAGGGAAAAACGAAGATATTTTTGTGTTTTACGTCCCAAAATCTTTTATTGGAAAACAGTTTAGATTCATTTTTCGTGTTCGTATTCAAAACCATTTCAGAAACGATAACAAATGTAAAACAAGGAATTTTCAATTAATCGCTTTAACGTTTTTCAGATTCTTTTTGCGCTTATAAATCGCATCAAAATATTTAATAAATAGCGAGCATAGAGTACAACTACAACCCCCTCTCTTGTGCGCTAAGTATAAGTGGTTCGACTGAGTCTACTGTGTTCAATTATGTCTCCTATTCAATATATCTGTTCCTTGGTATTTATAAAATAGTTTTAAAAGAGATTAAAGAAAAATTGTTACTCTTTGATTACCCGCGCTTGGTCGTCAATTACGAGTTTAGCTATTTTTCCCTATAAAAGTTGATTTGAGGCAAATCGGTCCAGGGGCTCCTTAGTTTTGATCTGATAAACAAACAACCAGACAAACAGAGATTACAACACGGGCTGCTGTAGTCTTTTGAATTTCCGCAACTAGGTTGACGCGGTCAGACTTTATGCTTCATACAGGTTGAATTTACTTTTACTAAAGGGGCAGAGGTGCGTTACAACTTTATATATATATATATATATATTTGGGACAGTCTTAATATATAATATATATACACATTTTTGGGACAGTCTGCATATATAATATATATAGATATATATTCTTGAGAAGTCGTGTTCGTAAAACTCTTATCTGTTGCAAGCATTGTCTTATAAGCTACTTGTCCGATTTTATGTTCGTCTGTTCGTCTGTTCGTCTGTTCGATTTGAGTGGTCGTGTAGTTTTCATTTCAGCCTGATTTTTTTTGTCAATTTCGTCTTTTCGTCTGCTTGCCTGCTCTTTAGATTACGTTTTAAATATCCTCTTATTGAGCATGTTTTTATTATACTAGAAATTCAAGGCGCTTCGCGCCCTTCTTTCTAGCCTTAGAGGGCGCTTCGCGCCCATCTCCTAAATTAATTGTGAACATGTTCTCTTTGTGTACATCGTAAAACAAAACAAAAATAATTCGCGGATTTTCACAAAAGATTTCGCGGATTTTCAAAATTTTAAAAAATTTAATGACGATCGAATTTTGATGGAGACAAATATTTGAAATTTTGTTGATTCATAAACCTTCCCTGGAGTCCCTAGATGTCCCACAAAAAATTTGGGCCCGATCGGTTCAGCCGTTTTGACGTTTATTGGATACAAACAAACAAACAGACAAACAGACAGACAAACAAGCCAAATTTAAATATAGATATTCTCTGTTATGTTGAACATATATAATATGAATAGTCTATTGAAAATGAAACACTACAATAGTGAACAGATCCATTTCAATTAATACATTGATTTTCTAGCTACTGCAGATAAACTATTTGCTTGTATAACACCATCAAATACACATAAAATTGATAAATGTCGTCTTCCAATCCCAGAGTTTTATGTGTCCTATTTTATAACTCTAACAAAATTAGAAAGGTATGCTATTATTATATTTATTGTATGAGGCTTATTTGCTCTTTCTAAGTAGAGGGAGAACCAGAAAATTCTGGAATAGGAAGACAACTTTTAAACTTAAATTATGACTTTAAATGGTCGAGGGAACATCAAACACAGCAATTGTGCATCGTAAACGGACCCATTTAACTGATTTACATCGTAAACAGACCCATTTAACTGATTTAATAAGTTTCGAGTTTAAGCATTTGCTTACTGGGGACATCAAATACACTTAAGTATTGCAGTAGTGTCCTCTTCCTATTTCACAGTTTTCTGGTTATCACTGTATTCTATAACTCTATGACGTCATTGCATTTGCAATCTCTGAAATGCTCTATATGTAGCCGCACAAATTCTCTGTTTGAGTTGGCAATATATATTCATTAAAAAATGCTCTCTTAAAATGCTAAATGTATTTTGCTTTACGCTTTCTCCGATTTTACTTTAATAGGGACTGTGGCCGAAATATCATAATAAATCACATCCGCAATCTTTGATCTGGGCTGAGCAAACTGTGTTATCTACAGTGGTAGGCGATAATATCAATATAATGAAGACGACTTTTTATTTAAGTTTTTGTTGTTATAAAGCTTTTTTCAAATTACAAGTTTACAAGTAATTAAAGAGGAGCCTTATAATTGACAGTTTCTCTTTGTTTCCATTATGTTTGTGTATCCATGGTATTTAAAAGCTTTATATAAAACAAAATTGAAATCGAAAGTCGTCTTCAATATATTGATGTAATCGCCTACCACCGTAGGAAAAGGGATAATTTACAATTGCGGATATTTCATACAAAATAATGACTAGCAAATTGATGTAGCAGAGACTAAAAGAATTAAAAATTAACAAAAAAGATCTCTTGTCAAGATAAAATAGCGAAGATATTTTACTTCATGATACTTAGAAAAGGTTTAAAGGGTACCTTTGTGAATTGTTCATGTTTCTTTAAATAACTACCGTATCTATATACTACATATGTAAAGTAAAGTTGAATGGGTTGATCACGAAAAACTAATTAATCTGTATAAACATAAACTATTATAGTATATCCTTAGTATATAATATAACCACTAATAGGACTAGAGATGGGCGTGTTTAGCTTTTTTCATTTCGTTCGTTCATCGTTCGTGCAGGACCCATTTTGTTTATTTTTTCAATGGTTTAAAAACTTAATTTCGATTTGTTTCGCAAAATCGTTTGTTCAATAAAATAATTTAAGAAACATTTCAGTCGTTTTTCAAAATTTCGTTCGTTCACAAAAACGTTCCATATTTCTAACTAGAACTGAGAAATGCTTCGTTAACAAACGGACATTTTTATGAATAACCAGCAACTTTGTAAATACGAAATTAACAGAATTTTGTTTACAAACGGAATCAATTGTTAGATTATTAGTTCCAACTGATCAGATACCTTGACGGATAGTTTTGTTAATTTAATGCCTAAATCAGAAATGTATTTTTTGTTATTTGATACCGAAAAGCTTTTATTACACAGAAATAAAAGGTTTTCGGTTGGGTACAAATCATCTATAACGAACGGAATCTAAAAAAATACGAAAGGAAACTTGGCTGAAAACGAACAGTTTATTATGATTAAATCAACTAAAATAATTGGATTAAAATAAGAGCTGACAAGCCCAGCCCTAACCATACCTACTGCACACTACCAGTACTGTACATAATACACAGCCCTAACTATACCCACTGCACACTACCAGTATTATACAGTATACACAGCCCTAACTATACCCACTGCACACTCACTACCAGTACTGTACAGTATACACAGCCCTAACTATACCCACTGCACACTACTAGTACTGTATAGTATACACAGCCCTAACTATACCCACTGCACACTACCAGTACTTGTATGATTAAGGTGAAGAAAAAGTTACAATTCTTTTTATAACCCAAATAGTCCATCAATAAAATCCCCCCCCCCCCTCCACGAAATTTTGGTTTATTTTCAAATCCCTTTTCCTTACACAATTGCCAAGACCCCAAAAAGGAAACTCGGGAGTTTCGTTCAACGATACTCTTTTAAATTTCGGGCTCTGCCCTAACTATACCCACTGTACACTACCAGCACTATACACAGCCCTAACTATACCCACTGCACACTACCAGTACTCTACACAGCCCTAGCTATACCTACTGCACACTACCAGTACTATACACAGCCTTAATTATACCCACTGCACACTACCATTACTCTTCACAGCCCTAACTATACCCACTGCACACTACCAGTACTGTATACAGCCCTAACTATACCCACTGTACACTACCAGTACTATATACAGCCCTAACTAAACCCACTGTACACTACCAGTACTATACACAGCCCTAACTATACCCACTGTACACTACCAGTACTATACGCAGCCCTAACTATACCCACTGCACACTACCAGTACTATATACAGGCCTAACTAAACCAACTGTACACTACCAGTACTATACACAGCCCTAACTATACCCACTGCACACTACCAGTACTATACATAACCTTTTCAAGGTATTAAACCTAGATAGACCGATGCAAACCCATTCCAGGCCACAGTACTA